CGACTTAGGGAGCTGGGGATGTTTAGCCTGGAGAAGAGGTTAAGAGGTAATATGATACCCTTTTTAAGTATTTGAAGGGATGTCATATCGAAGAGGGAGCTAGCTTGTTTTCTGCTGCTTCAGAGTACAGGATCCTGAACAACGGATGCAAGCTACAGGAAAGGAGATTCCACCTCAACATTAGGAGGAACTTCCTGACGGTGAGAGCTGTTCGAAAGTGGAACGCACTCCCTCAGAAAGTGCTGGAGTCTCCTTCTTTGGAGGTCTTTAAACAGAAGCTGGATTGCCATCTGTCGGGGATGCTTTCATTTTTAGTTCCTGCATGGCAGAATGGGGTTAGACTGGATGGCCCTTGTGGTCTCTTCCAACTCTATGAGTCTATGACTCTGGAGACCAGGGTTCAATTCCTGACTCAGGCATTAAATCCACTTGAGCTAGTCACACTGTCTCAGGCTTAGAGGATGGGAAAGGCAACCCCACTCTCAACAAATCGTGCCAAGAAAACCCCATAAGTCGGAAGAACTTGAAGGCAGACAACAAGACTGTAGTCTACAACAAGATACAAACAATGCACTCTACATATGTATTTTAGGCACGTTTCAATAATAAATGCTGTAAAGGTGCCCTTGACTTGCAAAGAAGCTAAGCAGAAGAGATCACCAAGAGCCCCCATCATCCACCTCTCTGCTCAGGTTTTGCAAACTCAGGAACGTGGCTTCCTTGATTGAATCAGTCCATCTGTGTGTGGCCTTCCTCTTTGCCTACTACCTTCAGCTTTACCAAGCATTATCCCCATTTTCAATGAGTTTTGTTGTCTCATGATACATTCAAAGTGTAATAGATAATCTCAGTTTAGCCATTTGGCTTCTAGTGAGAGTTCTGACTTGGTTTGCATTTAGCCTCTTAGGCTGCATCCGGACTGCAGAAATAATCTACTTTGACACCACTTTAAATGCCATAACTCAATGCTATGGAATTCTGGGATTGGTAGTTTGTTGTGGCACCAAAGCTCTCTGACAGAGAAGACCAAACGTCTCACAAAAATACAGATCCCAGATTATTTCTGCAGTCCGGATGCAGCCTTAGACCCATTTATTTGTCTTTTGGTGGCCCATGGTACCACCACGGAGGTAGAGCTCTGTTCCAGCTTGTTGTTGTTGTGTGCCTTCAAGTAGTTTCTGACTCTAACGCAAACCTATCACAGGGATTTCTGGGCAAGATTTGTTCAGAGGGAATTTC